TCATACGTGCCCGAAATCCAAAACCAATATCGAAGTCGATGAGCCATAACTTGCCAAGTCTAAATATATAATTAGTTTTCAAAATTTAGTCCAAATCGACCCTCTAATCTCCAAAATATACTCTCTTAAAGTGTAACGACCCGACCGATCGTTTTGAGCTCTAGCACGTTGTTCGGCGATTTGAGGCCTTAAGTAGCTTCAATTTATATATTATGACCTACACGTGTGGTTGGTTTCAGTTTTTAAGGAGTTCGAAGTTGATTTAGAATAATAATTCTGAACTCGAAAGCTTTAAGTTGGAAAAGTTGATCAAGATTTGACTTTTGAGTAGACGACCTTAGAATCGGGATTGAAGGTTTCAATGGGTTTGTATGATGATTCTGGACTTGGGCGTATGTTCGGTTCGAGTTTCAGGTGGACCGCAAGTGTTTTAGCACATAATGTGGAAAGTTAGCATTTTGATTTGAAGTGGACTTTGGTGTTATTGATGTCCATTTGAGATTCCGAGCCTTGGAATTAGTTCGTGTTGTGATTCGTGACATGTACGTAAAACTTGGCGTCATTCCGAGATGTCTAAGTGTGATTTGGATGCGTTCGGCAAATTTTAAATGTTTGAAAGTTAAAAGAGGGATTTGGATCGTCGATTCGTGGTTTTGATGTTATTCATGGCGTTTCGAGCCTTTGGATAAGTTTGGAGTAGGAATTGGGACTTGTTGGTAAAATTGGACGGGATTCCGGGGGCCTCGGGTGTGTTTCGGTATGGTTTCAGACCATTTTCCTTTATTTTGTGATTGTCAGTTTCTGGTGTCAGGCGTGTGCTTCGCGATCGTGAAGAAGGTACTGCGATCGCGAAGGGTAGTTTGGGCTGGCGAAGACTTTGTTCTTAGCGATTGTATGGAGAGGGTCGCGATCGCATAAGGTTGTCAGGTTCTTCTACGCATTCGCGTTGCTGGAGTTGTGAACGAGATGTGGAATAGTGTGGCTGGCCTATTGAGGGAGCTGTGCTACGCGATCGCGTAGGCAGCTTCGCAATCGCGTAAGAGTAAGTTGCTGGGGCTGGAAGTTTTGCCTTCGCATTCATGGAGCTTGGCTCGCGTTCGTATAGGTTTAGGTTGTCTGTGCATCGCGATCACGAGGGGGGTCTCGCATTCGCGAATAAGTAATTCTGGGCAAGATGGTTTGGCCTTTGCGATCGCGCGCGTGCTTCCGCGATCGCGAAGAAGGACGACTGGACAGATTGCATTTTTATTTCGGGACTTGGCTCATTTCTCTCACATTTCATTTGGGATGGCTGATTTTGGGAGCTCTTGGATGGGAAATTTTCATCATCTATTGCATGGTAAATAATTCTCACTTATTGTGAGTTAAATACATGGATTATATATGAATTTAAATACAAAAATTTATAAAAATGATGGGATTTTGGAAGAAAACCTAAAAATGGTAAATTTGGATTTTGACCACGAAATTGGACATGGAACTAGGAATAAATTTTATATTTTAGTTCGTGGTGTTATGGGTAATGTTTATCTTCGAAATTTTTTAGAATCCGAGTACGTGGACCCGGGGGTTGACTACATTGATTTTTCGAGCGGAGTTGAAAATTTATTATAAATTTTTAAATTACGAGTATTGAAGTATATTTTGATTGGTTTGCACATTGTTTGATTAGTTTCGTATCGTTCGATATCGGTTTGAGGATTTAGAGAGGCGTTAGAGCCGATTATCAGATTTCAGAGCGAGGTAAGTCTCCTGTCTAACTTTGTGAGGGAAAATTTACCCAGTATGTGTTGTATTTGCTATGTGCTACATGTTGTGGGGGTTACGTACGTATGAGGTGACGAGTGTTCGTGCGTATGCTAGAATTCATGTTTAGGTCCGGGTAGACTTAGACTCACGCCATGCCTTAATCATAATACTTGGGTTATTCTTGCCTGTTTAATTGCTTTAATTTATGTTTGTTCCTAAGATTAGACTTACGTAAAGTATTGGACTTACGATTTGAGATATGTGGTGAGCTGCTTGATTAGCAGTATAGATTACACTCCCTTTTACGGATTTCTCCCGTGTTGTACGTATTTGTCCGAAAGTTTCTTAAATTCTACAACTCACACATATATTCGTGAGTGGGATTAGTGACTCGTCAAGTCTTCAATATTCCTATGGGATCGAGCTAAACGTCTCAACAATATCATTATGGGATGGGGTTGTTTGCCTCGGTAGTATTATGAGATGCATCGATGATTCGTGTTGGTCGACCCTCAATAGTGTACACGATTATGGGATCAAGTTGAATGCCTCAAAGGTACTATTATGGGATCGGACGGTACACCACTACAGGAATTCGTGCCTTTACTCTTATGGTATCGGGCCGCTCGTCTCGGCAGAATCGTGCGAAATATTTGATAACGAGTCAGCATACTTATGAGTTTTCCTGACTTGAGATGTGGCCATTGATTTGGTGGTGATCATTATATACTCCATTTGAGGAAGTATTCGATATTTAAGGACTTTGTGTTTACTGTTCAGTTGAGGATCGTATTATGCACCTATATCTGTTTTTACTGTTTAATTACCATGCTTCATACTTGTCTACTTTTTATTGTACTTGATTTATTGGATCATTAGTAATTGTCAATGTCGACCCCTAGTCACTACTTCTCCGGGATTATGTTAGATACTTATTGGGTATGCGTTGATTTACGTACTCATGCTATACTTCTACACTAATGCAGGTTCTAAGACATGTAATGTTGGTGGTCATCTTGTCGCATGGCGCAGCTGCTGAGGGGACTTTATGGTGAGCTGCATTTTGTGTTACGATCCGCAACACACAGAGTCTCCATAATATTTATTTATTTTATCTTGTCTACCTTATATTCCAGACAGATATTGTATTAGTATTGCACTCCCTAGTAGATGCTCATGTACTTGTGATACCGAGTTTTGAGAATATCTAGTAGATGTTTATGGTTTGCCTATTATTGTCACCTTTTATTTTATGTTTTACAAATATTTTATATATCCATGATATTCTAATGCTATAAATTTTCTTATTTAATAAAAGCCATGATTTTAAAGGTAATAAAACGAATACTTAAATGGATGGTTCACCGTTGGCTTGCCTAACGGTGACGTTGTGCGCATCACGGCCTATAGTGGGAATTGGGCCGTGACATAAAGTGTAGTCAAAACTCCCAGATTTTACTTTGAAATTCCATGATTTAGGTGTAGAAATTCATGGGAATTCATAATATATAATCAAGTAGAAATTACATACTCTCAAAATATAGGTGAAATCCATCTCCAAAATAGCCTCATTCCATGCTCCAAAACTCAAAATAATGGAAAATAGGTGAAACCCTTGAAAAATATGCCACTGCCAGGCATCATCTCGCACATGCACTCACCAAACTGCAGGTGCAGAGTCGCTTCTGCGACCAAATATTCGCTTATGTGAACTCCCAGCTCACACGCCACTCTCGTTTATGTGATAAGTCTTCGCAAAAGTGGCGTCGCAGGTGCGTCCAAATCTTTTGTGTCTGCGGTCCTTCCTGAGCTGACAAATCTTGTATCTCCGTGCAGCCTTTCGCAAATGCGGTATCGCAGATGCGACAACATCCTCGCATCAACGACCTTCCCCATCATGACCAATATGCGCATCTGCACAAAATGCACCGCAAATGTGACTTCGCATCTGCGTAACCTCACTCGTAGGTGCGACACACAAGAACCCATTGTGCCAAGTAACTCCCAAAAGGTTTGAACCCATTCCGGAACACCCTCGAGCCCTTCGAGACCCCGTCCACTTACACTAACAAGTCCAAATATATTATCCAAACTTATTCAAAATGCTCGAAACACCACAAATAACATCAAAATCAATGATCAAAGATCAAAATCATTCTCTTAACTTTCAAACATTCTAACTTCGTCGAATATGTCCGAACCACACTTAGACATTCCACATCACAATCAAACTTTGCACACAAGTTCTAATCAACTAAATGAACTTATCTGGGGTTTCAAAACCACAATAGGAGCCCTATAATACTGAAGATGACTCCCACTTAAACCTATGAACTATACAATTGTTCAAATTGTCAACTTTTGACAAATAGGGCTAAAACCTTCTAGGAATGTCCAAATTCAAACCTAACATATGTCCAAATCCAAAATCAATATACGAACCTACTGAAACTATCAAACCTCGATTCCGATGTTGTTTACTCAAATGTCAAACCTTGGTCAACTCTTACAACTTAAAACTTCCAAATTGAGAATTACTCTAACTAATTAATTTGAACCTCTAGAACATCAAAACCAACCTTACACACAAATCTTAATGCATCATATGAAACTATTCAAAGTCTTAAATTATAAAACGAAATGCTAGAACTTAAAACGATAGGATGGACCCACCAAAATATATGATATACAAAGAATGTTATGCAAACCACTTGTTACTTCATAATTTTCGTCGTGGTATTGCAAATCTTTCTGTAATGGACACTTCACTCTCAGAGTGAATCTGAATTGATGGGGTCAGCGTGACTAAGATGTTGGATGAGAAAAAGAATATAATGTCAAGTAAAATGAGATGAACCGAAATATATAAATGAAATTAAATAACTTAAGCTTAATATAATGTGAAAAATAAATATCGTGAGTCGGCAACCGACTTGCAGGTTCCCATGATTTTGTTGAAGTGGTGTGATCCAATATGGGCGCCTTGAAACTCGTTCTCTTTCATCTATCAATATCACACACTGTAGTACTGGCTTTGACTCCACTATTAAAGATATTTTAATAAATCATTTATAATAAGTCGGAATAAGAGTGGGTTTTCTAGTGGTAAGTATCATTCACTTTCAATCAAGAAGTTGTGAGTTTGAGTCATCCCAAGAACAAGGTGGAAAGGAGTGAGCCGAGGGTCTGTCGAAAATAGCCTCTCTATCTCATAATAGGGGGTAAGGTCTGCCTACACACTAACCTCCCAGACCCCACTATTTACAATAAGTCCATTAAGTTCAGCCATTCTTCTTTCTTCACTGGCTTAGCTTCAATAACAAATATTAACCATAAACCCCTAAATAAAGCCTAAACTCTCTCTCTCTCCCTCTCTCTGTTTCTTCCTAGAATTACAAGATTTTTCATCAGAATTATCCCCCACGTTTAGTACTTAACTGGTATATTGTCAGACTCGGTCTATTCTCTCTACACATTCCTCCCATAATTCTTTTACTGATTCGCCCTTTTCTTCATTCTTGTACTATTTATCAGGTCTCTTGTCAAAAATCCTTCTCCTTTTCTCTTTCTGGATTCTCTTTTCTCCCCACTAGCTAATTCTTTGTTCAAGATACCATTTTTTTTCTCCACAATAAGTCACTTGAATTTCCAAGATTCTGCTTACCCATCTGCCAAATTCATTATCTTTTTCTGAAAAAAAAACTTTCTTCAAGTGAGAATATTGCCCTGTTTTAATTTCCTCTGGAGCAACATGTTGAAACTTGGGGTTTTGGTAGTAGTATTATATTTCCTGGTATATTTGGGTGATAATAAAAAAAGTGTTGAAGGCCTAGGAGTAAACTGGGGAACAATGGCAAGCCACCCATTGGAGCCAAAAATAGTGGTGCAAATGCTGAAGGACAATGGTATAAAGAAAGTGAAGCTGTTTGATGCAGATAAGACAACAATGAATGCACTTGCAGGTACTGATATTGAAGTTATGGTTGCCATTCCTAATGATCAACTTCTTACTATGACTGATTATGATCGAGCTAAAGATTGGGTTAGACGCAATGTCACTCGCTACAATATCAAAGCTGGTGTTAACATCAAGTAAGATATATTACATCTTTTATTTTCCTCCTTTCAATTCCCATTCTTGTTTGGATTTCTCTTTGCTTCATTTGTCGAATATCTGTGTCAACTTGCATCCACCTTTGTGCCTAGTATCACATCATTCTGTCAACTACTTAAGGCTTAGGTAGATAAGAAAAATTAATACTGCTAGTATTTTTTTTCTTTTTGTTAGGACTTGAACCTTCAATCTTCCATAATTTTTACCGATCATTAGAATGTACCCTTGGGTTTAATAAACAAATGTTCTTATAACTAAGACTACTAATTAAATTCTTAAGAGGTGCGCAAAAATTTTAAAAATCAAATAGTATGAACTTGATATAATTTCTTTTTCCTTTTACGTATTATGATACTTCCATGTGCAGTTGTTCCTCCTTGCGTAGCTTTCAAAAATGTAAATGCAAGATATGTGGATCTGTGCTCATCTTTATTGGTTCAATAATTTATTATTCTCAATGCTCTAGAATTTGCTTATAAATGCCGTCTTGAGTTGGCAATATATGTAATACTAAACAAGCCAATTACAGCTAACTATTATAGCAAGCCTGGATTAATAACATGCATAACATGGCAAAATGACCTCTACACGGTTACTGTGAAATTTTTTACACTGTCAGTTTATATAAGTTAAGCTCGAATTCAATTTTGTATGTCTGTCTTCTTAGTCTTGTTGCATTTTAATCTGTCTACAGATATGTGGCAGTTGGTAATGAGCCTTTTTTGACAGCCTACAACAACTCCTTTGTGAACTTAACATTCCCAGCTCTACAGAACATCCAAAATGCACTAAATGAAGCAGGAGTAGGGGACTCCATAAAAGCAACTGTACCACTAAATGCTGATGTCTATTTCTCACCAGAGTCTAATCCTGTACCTTCTGCTGGTAGATTCCGGACCGACATAGCTGAACTAATGACACAAATTGTTCAATTCATGAACAAGAATCAAGCACCCTTTACTGTAAACATTTACCCCTTTCTAAGTCTTTATTCCAATGAACATTTCCCAATTGACTTTGCTTTCTTTGATGGTGCTAGCAACCCTGTAGTCGATAACGGGGTCGAGTACACCAATGTCTTTGATGCCAACTTTGATACCCTGTATTCAGCATTAAAAGCAGTTGGTTATGGCAACATGAACATTCTAGTTGGAGAAGTTGGTTGGCCTACAGATGGTGACAAGAATGCTAATTTAAACTACGCGTATCGATTCTATAAAGGACTGTTTTCCAGGCTTGCAGCTAACAAAGGAACACCCCTTAGACCTGGATACATTGAAGTTTACTTGTTTGGACTAATTGATGAGGATGCTAAAAGTATTGCTCCTGGTAATTTTGAGCGACACTGGGGAATTTTTCGATACGATGGGCAGCCAAAGTTTCCTATGGACATTTCAGGTCAGGGACAAGATAAGCATCTTGTTGCTGCAAAAAATGTGCAATATCTTCCTAAAAGATGGTGCATGCTTAATCCAAATGCTAATAATTTGAGCATACTTGCTAATAACATTGACTATGCTTGCACATTCTCAGATTGTACAGCATTAGGATATGGTTCTTCTTGCAATAATTTAGATGCTAATGGGAATGCATCATATGCATTTAATATGTATTACCAGGTTCAGAATCAATTAGATTTGAGTTGTGATTTTCAAGGATTGGCAATGGTGACTGACAAGAATATATCTCAAGGGACTTGTAACTTTATTATTCAGACAGGTATTTACTCTGTCTCTTCTAAGGTTTTGCCTGGAATTGTTGTATTGCTAAGTGGCTTCACATTTCTTTTACTGTAGATATATTTCTGTGTAGATAAATTTACATTTTGATTAATTTATTTGCATTATAGATTGTATTCAAGAATATTATTGGGTATCTCACCCTTCAATAAAAGTTTACAGGATTTGTGCTTTTTCGTTCCAATTCTCAGCTTCTTTGGTGATTGAAATGCTCAAAATTGCCTTTTGCTATACTATAGGGACCAAAAAGCCCCCCAAGGTTACCTAAGGTCCAAAAATACATTTCTCCACTAATGCCCGTCCAATTTTAAAAAACTCTTGGCAATTTTTTCATGCCACTTTTGACCCAATAATATAATGTAGCCACATACAATAAAGGGTGGTCAATTGAATATTTTTGGAGCTCGTTTGAATTGACTTAAAAAAAGTGATTTTCATTAGAAATAGCTTTTAAGCCAAAAAACAGTAAGTTAGGGTTGTCAGCTTATTGGTTTTTGCTTGTTTTAAGCAGTTTTAAACTTATTTTAAGCACTTTTTAATTTTGCCAAACACTGAAAAAAAAAGCTAAAAAGAGCTTAAAAACTGATTTGACCAGCTTAAAAGCCAATTCAAACACCCTCTTCATCGAAAAATTATACCATGTATATAAAATATTATACTGCATATAAATCAAAAATTACTTATTATACATGTATATTAAATCTTGAACACTCTTAGTGAAATTCCTGGTTTCGCTACCGGATGTACTTTGTATTGTACTTAAACATTTGCGTTTGAGAATGTTTACTTTATTTTAAACAAAGATGTTAAGTATTTCACAATGTTGTTAAAGTTACATGTCAAAACATTTGTATTATAAATAAATATGTTATACTTATAGAGATATAGAAAGCAAAAGCTGGTAGAATTCCAGTCTATTTCTCTTGTAATAGAAAAGCTCAATGTTAGTAAGTGAAAAAGTTAACAAAATATTAGGCACTCAAGAAGGCCAAGACTTCCATATGACAAACGCTACCTTAATAGTCTATTTTAAAAATAAGAACAAACTGAATAATGAACTATTATAACCAAGCAGAATACAAAATTTCTATTCCTTAATAATCTATTTTAAAAATAAGAACAAACTAAATAATTAACTATTATAACCAGGCAGAATATAAAATTATTAACAAAAGACTAATCTGTAAACATTACTATGCCATTTCAAACAAAAACATTGAGTTACATTTATTAATTGTTAATTAAGTTATTCTCATTTAGTAAAAACTTCTTTCGGCTTAATTTACAATATTAATAATAAACATATTATGTTTTTTGATATATATAACAAGAAAAGAGTAATTTGATTAAGAAATGATAGTCAATTTAGAATTCACGATATGATTATTCAAACTGTAATAACTTGACCATTTGAATCTTCAAGATTATTTTGAATGTCAAGTAAACATTTCAAAGTGGAACTGCTCAAACAACTACCATTAATTCTAGCACTTAATGACAAAAGTCTATAAAAAGAAAAGATAGAATTGATACTCCTTTAAAAATATTTGTTTCTTTATTTTCAGGTTCACTTCTAATGACACATATTTTTTCTTATGTTATAAAAAGTTATGTCATCTTATTTAATATTATTAACTAATGAATTATCAACAAAGAAAAATGCAAACTTTTTTGTTATTCACAAGTTGATCAAATTTAAATATATTATGAACTTTTTCCCTCCTTAAATTTAACGCTAAGAAATTACCAAAATGTATTCCCTATAAGTTCATATGCTACAAATAAGCCTACTTATTATTATGCTAAAAATATGTTATTATAAATTTTAAATTAGAATGTGAGGAATAGACAACACACAAACACAAAGAAAACCCAAATTGATGAAATATTGGTTATATTTTTACTCTTTTTTCTTTGATGTTTAATTCGAACAAATTAAGTTTAAAATTAGATGGCTAACTCGGAAATGCAATAATTTTTATCGAATAAAGATGCATAAGAAGTTCTTATTTTTAAATATTATCTAAATGAATATGAATGGTTTTACAAAACAATTAGAGTAATACAACTAAGAAAATATTTTTGTAATTACGTGTTGGGCCCATGAGTCATCCCTCATCTAGTAGTGATGATAAAGAAGAAGACGCCATTGTTGGTGTTTGTTGTTGAGAGATAAAGTGGGTAAGGAGGGAAAATTTATTCCCAATTCCAACATTGGTAAAACTGTACAAGAGAAAATTTATTGGCTTTCCTTTAACCACCCCCACAAGACTTGTAAATGCTACAAGGACAGTGTTGTAGCAAACACAAAAAGATGATTTTTTTTTCATGGAAATGTTTAATTTTCTGCTCCAAACACACACTAAAGCTGAAAATTTGACAAACCTTCAGCAATATTCACATGACCATCATCATAATTATCTCTAGTAATTTCACCATAGCAAATTTTGAGCAAATATTCTTCAAGATTTTTGGCTAAATCAACACCCCAATTGGATTCTAAATCCCTAAGTGGCTGTACAACACTGAAATTTCACATTTTCTTCATCTGCCGCGCCGCCGCGGCTCGCTTCTTCTTGACTGCTTTTCATCTTGTGGGACTACAAATCCCACCTTCCATTACTGAAAAAGAATCCTAAATTCTACAATTTGTGAATTGTTCAAATGAATTTACAAATCCCCAATTTTTGGGGAAAGGGTACATTAAAGTGACGTCGTTTAACTTCTGGCTCTGAGGGGAACGGAGATTTTTTAAATTTTTGGAGTAATGTTTTTCCACCTTTTTCCCGCTCCGAGGTGTATATATATATATGCTGGTAACCGATAGCCCATACTGCGCGCGAGCTCAATAAACATATGCTAAATATTAGACTACAATTTTTGGGATCTTCGTACAGATAGACGGTTATTGGTTTTTTCTAGCATATATACACAAAACGTACACTAATGATACATGATTGTTCATATAATATATATAAATTGTACATATATATTATATATTTGACCGGTATTTTTAGCTTAAGCGGTTGGATGTACGGCTATTTAGCTTAAAAATCCTAAAGTTAATCTTAAATCACCTAAAATAATTGAAAAGGAAAAACAATATAATTTTGTTGATCACAACTATTACCTGAAATTCAAATTTTAAAAGGAGTCTGCTTTTATGATCATGTTGTGCTAATTAACATGAGCAAATTTTTCGTCTAACTTAAGTTGAATGATACAAAGATCCCTTTTTATAACATAAGAAATTACATATCGTCGCTTCTATGTTCTCTCTGTGATTTTTTTGCTTCTAAAGTTCTTCTCTTATTTTCTTCGTCTCTTTCTCTGTTTTTATAGATGTTTTGTTTCTATTAAAGGTGCTCATGCAACTATTTTCACTGTCAATTTTTTGTATATCTTTCTAAGGTAATTAATTTTCTTTAATATGTCTTGAATATAAAAAATATGGCTATAGTTTAATAAAAAACTTAGGTTTAATATGTCTATCAGTCTCTAATCGCTCCTCTTGCCCTTAACTTCGGGCCTCTGGTCTGTAAGTGTGTTTATCTCTTTAAACTTCTACAAATTTCAATTTGTTTCCTTTGTGAATTTTGTACCACTTTTGTATTAATATCTTAAATGCATCGGTTCTTGATGTTGTATCAACCTTTTTTACAAGAAAAATTAGGTTTCGATTGAGTTTCTCTGTTGCCCAAAGTCTCCATAGCATCGCAACGGCCATCACTAGAAAAAAAGCTTAACACAAATTAAACCTGGTGTCTTTGTCTTCTGCAGTTCTAATTTGGCCATTAGTGTAGAAAATATCGTACATTTTAATTTTTAATTTAAGAGGAGCGAAATTATCGGTTGACGAAAATGAAGTTGGTGGGGATATCTAAGGCTCTAAGTGGCTCGACAACGTCGTCAATTGGATGGTAAAGTAAGTTACCGCTGAACTTCAAGAAGATTAAGAGAAATAAAGAGAGGTTCTCAGTGGTGAGAGTTAATCTATGATGGAGCAAACTGATGATTACCCCGGGATTCTTGCTTTCTCTGTTTTTTTATTTTGTATTTTTATTAAAGAATTTGAGGTTTTAATGGAATTTTAATATAATTAATACAATTTATTTACAAACAATTCAGGTAAGTGAAAAGTATAATAATCGTATATAATTAATTGTTGAGTCATTCCTCTGTCATAATAATAATTAACACAATTAGGATCCTTTATTTTCTAATTTCCATAGTAAGCATATTAAAGTGTATAGTTGTTTCTTCATTTATCCATTTGTAATAGTAATGGATAGTACTTGTTTTTTTTTTTTTTTTACTTCAAGTTGACTATGTTTTATTCTAACAAAAAGTCTTTACCCAAAACAAAAGTTACACTATATATAAATTTTTAGAGATAGGCATGCTAAAGTTAGATCAATATAATGAAAATAAAAAAATTGAATTTAATTTATAGAATGAACTTATCTTGTTTACCCAAAACGGACCTGCTATTAATTTTTGTATAAGATTTTACAAATGAGTATGCTAAAGCTAGATGAAATTTAATTTGCAATGAAGGATACAGAAATAAAACAATAAAAGAAGAAAATAATACTGCAGAGAAAAGTAGGGAGGGAGAATTCTAATTGATTTGGGATAAATTACAATGGAATAGAACCCCCATATTTACAGGGAAAAAGTGACTTAGCTACCAAGTAACAAATCATATAATTTCTCTAAAATATAGACATTCACCTTAAATACAATTCTATTTATAACAATTCCCCTTTAATGTCTATTCAACAGATAATGTGCCTCGTTAAACCTTAATTAAAATAAAATCCAATGGAAAAAAATTCTAGTAAAGGAAAAAGAGTACACATATCTAACAATACGCATTTTGGTTGCCTCATTAAAAACCTTGCAGGGAAAATCCAGTGGGACAAAACCTTGTAAGGAAAAAAGAGTACAACGCGTATTAACTCCCCCTGATGAGAGCATCAATTCACATCCTTGAACCTTCGCATTCCAATCTTGTGCACTAGCTTCTTGAAGGTTAACGTCGGCAGAGATTTGATGAA